TCATTTCAAATTAAACCAAACTGGCACATCTAAAACGAAATAGAACTAAAATGTTTTAAAAATTTGAAAAAGTTGTCCTTCTCTTTCAAGCTTACCCATGTACTGTCATATCAAAATTATTTCGAATAAATTACATAGGAAACCACTGTGGCCTCAGTCTGGACTATATAATTTTTCAAGTACCCCTATTATAACTGTAAACTTTGCATATAATTTATGTCATTTAATTACCTATTGGAGGAACTTTTGTGCATTAAATGTCTGAATCTTGTAGCATCTAAAACTAGTAATAAATACATTGGATAAAAAGTTTATTATTTCTTTATTAAACATTAAAATTAACATGATCCTGGATATCATAATAATTAACAAAAATATTATATTAAATATAATACAATTATTGACTATTGAGCCATTGAATATGATGTGATATTCACTGGCAGATGACATATTGACCGAGGCGTAGCCGAGGTCAATATGACATTCTGCCGGTGAATATCACATCATATTCAATGGCTCACTAGTCAATAATTGTTTTATTATATGAATAGACTAAGAATTAAAAAAAATATCACGAAAAAGTACAACCTTATATACATGTACAAATTTTGAAAAAAGACGCACGTGCGAGGCGTGCAACGACTACGCGAACGCTGCGCATACAAAAGTAATTCAAGTTTATACTCATCGATGCGGTTTAGCCTTTAAGTATAACAGTAAAGTAATGATATTTCAATCGAGAAATATGCCATAAAGAACAAAACGCAACAATTATTTTTTAATTAACACACGTAATTAACAGTCTACGGTGTATGGTCATTGAAAAAGTCTCAATCTATTTTTAAACTTGGAAAATCCAATTCAGCCAGTTAATATGATACTTCACCCAGTGAATATGATTTTATAAAAAGTTCTGTTGACTACAGTTTGGACCAATGAGATTGCAGCTATTTTTAGATCATATAATAAATAATAATGTACATGAAATAAGTCTTGGACATGGGCCAATGAATTTTGTTATTATAAGTTCACAAAGGGGCCATATTTCATTCAAAATCCATGAAAGAGTAATGGGTCTTGGAAAGTTACCCTGTATTGTAACTAAAAAAGCATGAATCAAGTTTCATGTGAATACAATCAGAATCTCTATGATAAATGTTCAACTGAAATGTTGCCAGGAAAACTTAAACCAATTAATGTTCTAAGTTCAAAAAGGCCTATAATTCTGTCATTGCCAATACTAGAATTATGGGTCTTGGAAATAAAACTTCCAATTGTAATCCTGAAGCGATTTATTAGTAGTCAAGTGAATACCTTATTGATGCTGCATGCAAAATTTTAATTAAGAGCATTTTAAGTTCAACTAGAAATGTGTCATCATGCCACGGATGCCCCCGCATGCAGCCAAAATTTCAGATGGTGCATTAATTATTTTTTTCATTTAAGTTCAAAGCTCTTAAAACTTTTCAATGTTAACACAAACCATTTTCATACAATGTTCAAGGCACTGAAATTATTCAGTCTTAACCTTTTAAAAATAGCATATTGCATATTTGTAGCCAAAATAATGGCTAAAAGTATGAGTGCTGAAACTGAAAGTTCAAAATTTTTCCAACATTCAGGAAAGATAAGTTTGTCTAAAATCATTGAACCACGACCAAATTCAAACTTAAACTGCTTATTCCTAAGATGTATCTATATTATTTTCAAAGTGAAATTAGGGACATAACTCTGCCAAAACATCATCAAACCATGACCGAATTCCAACTTGACCTGCCCATTCCTTTGACATATCTATATGTCAAATTTAAGTTAAATATGTAACACTGTTGGGTAGATAATGAACAGAAACTGTAAATTTCATATTATTTTCAAAGTGAAAGGGGCATAACTCTGCCAAAAATCATTGAACCATGACCAAATTTGAACTTGACCTGCGCATTCCTTTGACGCATCCATATGTCAAGTTTGAGTTGAATGTGTTGTACCTTTGGGGAGATAATGAACGGAAACTGAAAATTTCATATTGTTTTCAAAGTAAAAGGGGCATAACTCTGCCAAAAATCATCAAACCATGACCAAATTCGAACTTGACCTGTATTTTTTTCATGACATATCCATATGTCAAGTTTGAGTTGAATGTGTTGTACCTTTGGGGAGATAATGAACGGAAACTGAAAATTTCATATTATTTTCAAAGTAAAAGGGGCATAACTCTGCCAAAAATCATCGAACCATGACCAAATTCCAACTTGACCTATATTTTCTCATGACATATCCATATGTCAAGTTTGAGTTGAATGTGTTGTACCGTTGGGGAGATAATGAACGGAAACTGAAAATTTCATATTATTTTCAAAGTAAAAGGGGCATAACTCTGCCAAAAATCATCGAACCATGACCAAATTCCATCTTGACCTATATTTTCTCATGACATATCCATATGTCAAGTTTGAGTTGAATGTGTTGTATCGTTGGGGAGATAATGAACGGAAACTGAAAATTTCATATTATTTTCAAAGTAAAAGGGGCATAACTCTGCCAAAAATCATCGAACCATGACCAAATTCCAACTTGACCTGTATTTTCTCATGACATATCCATATGTCAAGTTTGAGTAGAATGTGTTGTACAGTTGGGGAGATAATGAACGGAAACTGAAATTTCATATTATTTTCAAAGTAAAAGGGGCATAACTCTGCCAAAAATCATCGAACCATGACCAAATTCGAACTTGACCTGTATTTTCTCATGACATATCCATATGTCAAATTTGAGTTGAATCTGTGCAACCGTTCTTAAGATAATGAACGGAAACTGATGATGACGGAATGACAGAATGACGGAAGGATGGAATGACGGAACAGGGTAACACTATATGCCCAGGCCATTACATGGCGGGGGCATAAAAACAATCTAAGTTCAAAAACAGTCTTTAAATTAAACAAACAGTCATAATTCTGTCTAAATCCATTTCAGAATTACTGGACTTGGAGTGACCTCCGGTTATGATCACAAAACCTGTATATAGTTTCAAGTGGAAACCATTGGTAGTTTTAAAGACTGATGTTGCATGCAAAACTTTAACCAAAAAGATTCTAAGTTCAAAAAAAAAGTGTCAAAGATTACATTAGAGGTTATAAGCCTTGGAAAGTGACCTCCTATTATGTTCTCAGATAAGTACGTAAAGTTACAATCAAATATTGTAAGTGATTGATGGATATGAGCTGCATGCAAAATTTTAACAAAAGTGTAATGCTAACAATAATTCTGATGATGCACAAGTGAGAAGGATAGCTGTACTATTCCTTGAATTGTCAAGTTAATTACCCAATGTACTGACTCATTGAAACAGATATAGACACTCGTATTGGCTAGTTAATAAAACAAATGCAATTATACATGTATACATGTATATCAAAATGATCTTACCATTAAAAGATATTTCAAAGGCCCCTGTGGATATAAGTTGTCCTTCAATGGCATTGCTGACAAAAAATATCATCAGACAGGCATACAACTGAAAAATTAAACGAAAAAAATTTTAACAAATTGTCACTCTTGTTTACAAGGTGATCAAATCAAGCAGTTTTTATTAACAAAATTTAATACAGTATGAAAATATATTTCAAAATGTTTTGATACTTTATTCTGACATGTTTAATTCCTGCCTGAATAACTGATTTGTGTATTGTTGAATTCTTATGAAGATTTATGACAGACCCAGTTTCACTCACATTCTCCATGGTAAAAAGCATCCTTTTTGTACAGTTTAGCAAATATTTTGACCATTGTTTATTTGTTTAAAATGAAACTTAAATAAGAGTATGTATGAAAAACAAGAGCGATCAGTGATCACATGTGTCGCCTCATGATGGCCAATTTCATGTTGGGACAAGTTTTGTGACAAACGGACAGACAGATGGACAGTGCACAACTAGACTTGGTACTGATCATTCCTGTAAAGTTTGGATAAAATTGCACCAGTATTTTATGAGGAGTAGTCCGGACAAGCTTTTGTGTATCTGGCAACACACAGAAAAAAACACCTTTTTTATCAAAGGGCCATAACTCGGCCAAAAATCATTCAACTGGAAAACCCATGCAATATGCGCAACAACTTGAGCTACAGATCAATCCTGTAAAGTTTCATTGAAATTGCATTAGTGGTATAAGAGAAGTACATGTAGTCCGGACAAACTTTAAAAATAAAAATTATTAAAGGGTCGTAACTCTGACAAAATCATTGAACCGGAAAAGGCTGACAATATGCACAACAAGACTTGGTACTGATCATTCATGTAAAGTTTGGATGAAATTGCACCAGTAGTTTATGAGGAGTAGTCCGGACAAGCTTTTGTGTATCTGGCAACACACAGAAAAAAACACCTTTTTTATCAAAGGGCCATCACTCGGCCAAAAATCATTTAACTGGAAAACCCATGCAATATGCGCAACAACTTGAGCTACAGATCAATCCTGTAAAGTTTCATTGAAATTGCATTAGTGGTATAAGAGAAGTAGTCCGGACAAACATAAAAATAAAAATTATTAAAGGGCCATAACTCTGACAAAAATCATTGAACCAAAAAATGCTGACTATATGCACAACTAGACTTGGTACTGATCATTCCTGTAAAGTTTGGATGAAATTGCACCAGTAGTTTATGAGGAGTAGTCCGGACAAGTTTTGTGACTGACGGACGGACAGACAGACAGAGAAGTGATCCCTATATGTCGCCGCTACTCCATAGAGGCGACACAAAAATCGACAAATCAAAATTATCACCTGTAGTCATTTAGAACAGAGATATTAAACTATGACACTTTCCTGATTTAAACACAAATTTTTTCCCACACTTATTACATAAATATACAGTAGCTGAAACAGTTTCTATCATTATGAGTACTTACACAAATAATGGCATTACAACTCTAATATTCCCAATTTAAAAGGACCAGTTATTTAGAATAGCTAACGTGAAAAGTTTAACAACATGTATATTATGATAGATTTAAACATTGAGGCTTTTTTTCCCAAATGGAGTTTTATTTCAAATCCTTAAATTAAATTTAAATCAGGTTTTTCTTCCCCATCTGCAATAAAAAAATAATGTGTTATTTTCTGCCAAAATTAAGGGAAAGGCTTATTCCCAGGGTACTTGTAAATATAAGTCCCGAAGGAACAAAATACTTACTTTGTTCTCCACTGCCCAAGTGAAGATACTTGGGGTATCAATGTTAAGATGAGGGAATGGATTCTGGCCGAGGACGACCATAGCAATGATAATGATTTTAAGAATACCAAGTCCTTGAGCAAAAAGTTGCCGCATTGGTGGAGGAGGGTAATTATCTCCTTCTACACTGAAATGTGGGAACTTCTCATGCAGCACATGTGAATACTGCTCAAAGACTTTCCGGTACCCTCAGGAATAACTGAAATATAAACAAATTCAATATTAACTATTAAGTCTATTGTTCTTAAATTCAAGCCTTGTTTTCCTTATATAGTTACAACTGGTAAACAATGGGAATGACAGACTACTCTCACCCTTACCAGTTCAGTTCCCTTGAAAGTTAAGAATGGGGAGGAACTGTCTGCTTATTTGCAACTGAACTGTCTGCTTATTTGCAAATATGTAATAATAAAAATAAGAATGGGGAGGAACTGTCTGCTAATTTGCAAATATGCAGACGGTTCTCTCCCTATTTTGGGGGAGAACCGTCAGGGAGGAAACGTCAGGGGAGGAAATGGTAAGGGAGAGAATAGTCTGACTACCGATTTTCCTGACCAGCGTATTCCATTTTTTCTTCAACTCGCAAAAAATGCGAGTAGTCCAGGGCTCTCGTTAGCATTTTGAGACTGGGGCCAGGGTCCATGCAGGGGGGGAATTTTGCATGATTTTCAAATATTTTTCATCCAAAGGGGAATTTCCACAGAGGAAAGTTAATTCAGAAAAAAAAACAGAAAAAGTGAATGTAAGATTCAGTTAACAAATAAACATCATTAAGGCCAACATTTTTTTATTAAATGTTTTACGGGACATTTTTTAAAAAAATTGGGTCGGGGGGGATAAATAAAAATAAAAATAAAATTCAATTTTTTGATCAGTCGACCACAAAATAAAAATAAAATGACAAATGAGGTGAAAATTTTTTATTTTCGAACATTTTTCTTAACACTCCAAAAACAGATTTTTAATCCATAAAATAAATGATTTTATAGTTTTGAAATATTTTTGACATGATTTTTAACAAAATAATTGAAAAAAAATGTTTTAAGTCACTTTTGCTTTTGTTTTATGTAAATATTTAATGCTGATCTAGAATTTGTGTTAGTTTGTCTTTTCGCATTTAGGGCAAACATGCCACACAACTCCAAATTCATTGTTTAGTCCCTTCATTTCAAGAGTATCCAAACAAGGTTGTATTGCCACTCTCAAGCTTTACAATACTGAAGCAAGCTTGCAACCTGATTATAGTGATAGAACAACCAACCTATTATAAGCTTACTGATAGTTTCCTCATGCATGTCATGGTAATCCAAATTAAGTTCCTGACAGGATTCTTATCAACAACATCACACAGGGAGAGTGATTTGAGGTCAGAAACCTTAACCATTCACAGAGGTACAAACATAATATTGTACAATGTCAGTTTCACAAAGTAAATTAAATCAACAACTTTAAATTATCTTTAAGAGAGTAAGTTATGTATGTGCAAAAAGTTTGCAATTTCTGAAAATTATTCATAGTTCAAATGATTAGTAAAATGAAAGTCATTGACAGTAAATAGAAAATCAAAATGGCATACATTGTTACAAAATCAGGGTTTTCTGTAGAGAATTTATTACAGGCAATTTTTTACAGAAATGAGGACTTATGCTCATAATCTTACATTGAAAAAAAGGCCAATTTTCTCAATATTGATCTAGTAAAAAACACATAACTACTGCCTTTAGTCTACTGGTCATGATATAATATAAACTTATTATTTAATTTTACCCATGAAATATGGTGCTATATCAGTCAAATATATTTCATATTTTTTGAAAATAAATATGAAATATAAATATGAAAGTGGGCGGAGTCAAAACTCATATTTATTATAAGGGACTTCTTTCGCCGTTTTGTTTAAAAAATCTGATAAATACAAAACAACTTTTTCTTGAATTTTGTTTTGAAAACTATCTAGCATGATAGAAAATGGGCTAACTAAGAAAATTAATCCGAACACCAATATCTTTAATTTAGTAATTAACGCTGTACAGACGTTTAAAGAGTTGTTTACATGACGTCACAATGTAGCGCCAAACAGCGTGTGCTTACGCATAAATTACTGCGCGCTGTACAATTGAAGTTGGTAGCAAGCAAGGGGATTCGTTACCATTTTCTTTGATAATGAAATTAAATAAAAAGGTTATTTTTTCGTTTTTTGTGAAATATGGTATATATTTTCACTCAACATGATAGAATCCCACATATTTTCACTAGCCGTACCGGCTCGTGAAAATATGTGGCATTTTATCATGTTTCGTGAAAATATATATTCCATATTTCACGCAAACGAAAAAATATCCTCTTAATAAATGTTATAGATGAATGTGTTCAATTATAAACAAGCCTTGTATTTCAACAAGACAACAACAAAAAAATCTGTCCACCAAAGAACTTTCAGGAATTTATTATTTTGGTATTATAAATTTATCAATTGTTTTCAAAGATTCATAATAAAGATTTTTTATTATTAATTTACTAACAATAAATGTTAGATTCTACAATGTAAGTAGAACTCGTACGCGTTGAATTTCGATTACTCAATTTTCTCCATATGTCAAAGTAAAATGCAAGTCCAGATTTTCCCCTTATATTTTTTATAAAAAACCTATACATGAGTCTAAATTTTAATGTTTCAAAGTTTTCTCATGTTCCGTGGTAAATCGAGTAAATATTTCATTCTGACACCTTAGTCGATCAACGACTTTGATCCCGTGCCCATTTAATTTTTTACAACTGTTCTGAAAGTGTAGATGATTCAAATCAACTTATGCAATGGATGTTACTTCCCAGTCGTGCTTTCTAACACCTTTGCAGGCTATCATGTGTGATAAAATGCTCTAATATTTATTCCTCAAATTGCCAGAGTTGTATTGAAAGCGAACTTTTATGACCCCGCGACCTTTCATGACCCGGTGTCGCGTGATATTCACACGGGTTAATTTATTACAAGCTTGTTAAGTTATTGCCCTTCCCTTTTGTTACGCCTTTTGTAACATTCTTGTAAACATCAAAGGGATTAACTTGTCATTTGTTTTAAGCAAGTTCCTTTGCTTTACCAAGATTCTACAGTTAAGTACCGAGTAACTTTTAATTTTGACAGAAGTGAGTAAGAGAGGTCGGCGGACAAAATGAAAATAAAAGTTCTTAAATGAACTTTTATTTTTATTTGATTTTCTCTAAAAATACGGTCGGCGGTCCCGTAAAACATTTTATAAAAAAATGTTGGCCTAAGCTGCTTTCATGAAATATTTCTGTTATTTTTTGCGGTACGACTTGAAATTGTGCGACATGTTGGAATGCTTAAACCCGTCCGGAACGTTCGATTTATATATACATACTTATTTCCGATTGCTGTTCGCGGAATACTTACTAATTTCCGGTTGCCGTACGTGGAATAGGCATTCGCCGATCGGCGTTTTCTATGCCCGTTAAAAATTAATTTCAAGGGGGATTTTTTCAGTTTTTGGGGGGAAAAACACACTTTTTTGGTGGCGGAATTGGGCCGATTATCGCCCCAAATTTTACCAAACGAGAGCCCTTGTAGTCATAAATCTAACTCGCAAAATGCTAGTTGAAAAATGATTTTGCGAGTGTTAAATTCGAGCCCTGTCATTTCTAAAAATACTGTTTATGTCAAAAAGTCTTGTTAGATGTAAGGTAAAAAGGATTTAATTTTAATCAAAAATCAAAGTTAATGTATCTGACAAATTATAAAACGCTTGGATTACTCTAAAATATAGTATATCAAACTGGAAAGGTTAAAATACTCAGGAGGCCACGTGTGGACAAAAGAAAATTAATTTAGTTTCAGAAATTATTCAGTTCTATAAAAAAATATGCACAGAATGAAAATGTCAAAATTTCGGACCTACCAATATAAAAACTTGATGGTTGGGGTAGCAAATTGTGCTAGTTTTGGGGCCTTGATGTCTTTGTGTACGTGTGAGGACTGTTCAGTTCCTGACAAATCCCTCCAAGTCAGAAAAACAAACAAAAACAAGCCTGCCACAATTGGCAGGTGTGACATGTCGGCCATATTTTTCTGAAGAAATTAAATGCAAAAGTTATTTTAGACGAAATAGTTATAAGAAATAAAATATTATTTCTGTAGGCTTTTAGACATATTCTCCAAAGAATTCAATATAATTTCCCGCTAAATGATCATCTTTTTTCTTTTTAAAGAAATGATTCATCTTTGGTGCTTGTACAATGGAGTTTTTTCCATAAATTCCGTTCACATGATTAATTTTCTATATACCCAAAACAGGGGAAATGTCGACAGTTCCAGCAAAAAGTTCGCCTCGAGATGCGCAGGTTATGGCGGCTATATTGAAAGATATGGGCGTCACAGAGCATGAGCCAAGACTCATAAACCAAATGCTAGAATTCACTTATCGTAAGATTTCAATCATTAAAATGGTTTACTAAAATTATAGTGTTATAGTATTCGTCTAATTGACAGCTGTACGGGTAACCGGATTATTATCATTTACGAGACAAACCACTATATTTTAGGATTATTTTATTATATTATCAAGCATATGATATAACTTGTACAGAAACAATGAATATATTTGTAATTGTGTTTCCTCGTACTTTATCATATTGATATAATATATTGAAAAACACAATTTAATAAGCACATAAATTTGTGAGTTTTCAAGACGTGCAATTAAAACATGGAATAATTTGCCAAAAATATAGTAGACTCAAAAAGTGTTTATGAATTTAAAATAAGGCTAGACCAACACTCCACCGGAGACACTCCATTTAAAGTTTAAAATGTTATTTGTTAAAAAATTATACAGCAGTCGTGAACAGAAATATGTATAAGTGTATATGATTAAACATAAAAGTGATGAGACCATTAAGAAGAATTAGTGAAAGATTGTCAAAAGAAGAGGGGCTTAAAAAATGCTTGGCCCTTCCATCAGAGCCCAGAATCATCCTACAGGTATCCTACAGTACAGGTGACTTGTCATACATGTCAATAATGGTCAAATTATCATAAAAATAATCTCCTCTTGATACACAAGAACACAATTGCTATCGTTAATAAAATATGAAATTAGGCAAAGCCTATGAACGGGGAAGTCTTTAAAAATTGTTTGTTTTTCTGTTTTAAAATTTTAATGTATCATTCAATATTTCATGCACAGCTTCTGTTTTCACTCGAAACACTTGACGATTAAAATCAATGGGATTCAATCCGATTTGCAGTCCTGGCCTTTGACTTCCTCGTATGAAATATGCAAGGTATATTACTTGCCGTAGCGCAAAGCGTATTAAAGATAAGACAAATTTTCATACCTATACATGCAAACATAGCACAATCTTGCATTAAAAAGATTAAGCCATCTATTTTCATTTACAAAAAATGAAATATCAAACTTGAAAAAGTACCTGATAATATATATATTATACACAGTAAATGGGTGCTTGATAGTAATTTTGTTCTTGTAAAGGGCAGATTATTTCATGATAATTTGACCATTATTGACCAGACCAATGTGCTGACTGCTTGTGTTTGTAGAGGGGAGATATTGTCCATACACAAAATAGCACAATATCTCATCACATAGCCAAATTTATTTGGCCTGAACAGTTTGACCCATTTTACAAACTTTTCTTTTCTTACTGTTGGAAAAAGACATCGCTGGTCAAAATTATGTCTCTTTGACAAGACTAATTAGCTGGACTATTCATCGCGTAGTACAATTAGTAGGACTATTAGCTCATAGAGAAATTTATAGCAGATACGTATATTAATAAGTTATCCAGATGTTGCCTAAAGCATACATGTCTCACCTACTTGCATGTGACTTAATATTGCTTTATAGAATTGTTCACCTCCATGAGATTAAGTGTCCTGTCTATAGGTCAAAGATCAAGGTCACACTTAAGATGTCTTTAAAACTTCTACATGCATTGAGGGATTTATATATAAATTTTCATCATTGTTAGGCTAAGTTTTGCACTTAAAATTCAGCCAGGTCCTTACAACCAAGGTCAAAGTTACACTTAGAGGTAAAATTTCAAATAAAAATTCTAAAGTATGTATAGGGACCATGTAATGATGTATGCTTGCCACACTTCTTATAGTGATTTTTTTAACAACCTGTGGCTTTCGAAAGGGGAGAATATAGTGCGATAAAACAGAAAAGGGGGAAAACCTGAAACACTGAAAAAGTAATTTACCCACACATTTTATGTAAAATTTTGATTTCAATTCAATTTAACATGCATGGTACTTTGCAGAGGCTATCTATAGGGACAGATTTCTGTCTTCTAGCTGATATTAGTCATACTTAAAAGGCATTTTAGCGGAAAATATAAGCATTTTTCGGGGAAATTTTACCTATTTTGGGCTAGGGGAAACAGCCTTTATTCGGCTGTAAAATACAGTGAAAAAAATCACTGTCTTATCACCTACATTTCCATCTAAAGCTTTTTAGACAAGTGTATTTTGTGACTTTTTAGCTCACCTGAGCTAGCTAGGGGTGAGCTTTTCGGATCATTGAAAGTCTGTCGGGCGTTGTTTGTTGTCAGTCCACAAATGTTTGTTAACACTCTAGTGGTCACATTTTTGCCTCAATCATCAACAAACTTTGTCAAGATGCTTATCTAGGTAATTGCTTGGAGGTCATTTTGAATTAAAAACTAGGTCACAGGAGCTAAAACTAGAAAAATATTGTTAACACTTTAGTGGCTACTGTTTTGATCCAAATATCCTGCAACTTGGTCTGAAAGTTTGTATTGATGATTTCTAGGTCAAATTAGAATATGGGTCACCTGGCGTCAAAAAGTAGGTCACACCGTCCAAATATGGAAAAACCTTGTTAACACTTAAGTGGTCACATTTTTGCCTCAATTATCATCAAACTTTGTCAGGATGCTTCACTGAAGGTAATTTCTCAGATGAGTTCGAACATGGGCCATTTCGGATGAAAAACTAGGTCACAGGAGCTAAAATAAAAAAATGTTGTTAACACTCTAGTGGCTACTGTTTTGATCCAAATATCCTTGAAATTGGTTTAAAAGTTTGTATTGATGATTTCTAGATCAAGTTCGAATTGAGTCACCCAGGGTCAAAAACTAGGTCACGCCGCCCTAATATGGATAAACCTTGTTAACATTCTAGTGGTCACATTTTTTACTCAATTTTCATCATACTTGGTCAGGATGCTTATCTAGTTGCTTGGAGAAGTTTGAACATGGGTCATCTCTGATATAAACTAGGTCACATGAGCTAAAAGTAGAAAAATCGTGTTAACTTTCTAGTGGCAACTGTTGTCATCCAAATATCCTGAAAATTGGTCTGCAAGTTTGTTTTGATGTTTTCTAGGATAAGTTCGAATATGGGTCACCTGGGGTCAAAAATTAGGTCACACAGCCCAAATATGGAAAAATATTGTTAGCACTAGTGGTCTGTGGTCACATTTTTTACTCAATTGTCATCAAACTTGGTCTCTAAATAATTGCTCAGATGAGTTTGATGGGTCAGGTGAGCGATCTAGGGCCATCTTGGCTCTCTTGTTTGTTTGTTTTTCACAATGTCACACTTGTTTTTTTTACATGTACCATTTGATGTAGGTCTGGACCAAAAGTGTGCAAAATATTAGATAATTTGCCCACCTTGTTTTTCAAGACTTATCAGTTTATCTTTGTGAAATGACCAAAAAATAAGTGTTCAAAAAACAGTATTTACTCAAATCAGACTAAAAAACACACAAACAAAATTCTTTAAGTTTATTAAAGAATTTCACATTTTCTGTACCTCTGTATTGTTTGAATTTCTATCTGCAGGTTATGTGACAGATGTTTTAGATGATGCCAAGGTCTATTCAAGTCATGGCAACAAGAAGGCTATAGATACAGAAGATGTACAATTAGCTGTCCAGTGTAGGATGGATCACTCTTTCACAACACCTCCACCCAGAGATGTAATTCATTTTTGTATAGTTAACTAAAGGGCATACATGTATTTACATATAGGAACTATTCCTTGGTTTTGATTTATGAAGTGTTTCTCAGCCAGCATACGAAAAAAAATACAGTCATTGATTTTAAGTTTTTCAAAATCTCAATTTGTCTTATACAGGTGTTACTATTTGCATAATTATGTAAATACATTTTTTTTCTCAAACAATTATTTCATATTTAAATTATATTCTGTTTTTGTAGCATTTTGTGTATAACAAAATTGTTTACCGGTATGTAAAAAATTAATTGTTACATCATTATTTGTGTTAATTATTTATTTCAGCTACTGCTGGAGATTGCCAGACACAAGAATTCACGTCTCTTCCTCTGATCAAAACCATATACTGGTCCCCGGCTACCTCGGACAGATATTGTTTCTCTCGGTCAAATTAAAAACTTGTCAGCATCAATAAGCA